AACCCCCAGTTCAATCCACCATTCAGCAACCTCTCCAAGTTTCAGACACCTCTTCTCTTGATTCTTCACCACAAAAATTCTCACCTGTGCTATCTCTTGAACCCCTCAATATCCATTTTAAAACAGATGAATCCACCCTCTTAGAGTCCTCTTAAGTCCATACTTGGGTGCTCAGTATTTTTTTTTTGATAATGACAAAAAGAGGGAGATAGGTTATGGTGAAGCAACCTTAAGGGGAGAAAGTAGAAGGAATCTAAGGAAAATAAGCTAGGATAGAAGTACTTTTTAAGGGAAATCTAGGAACTTAATTTTGATAATGCTGAGCTATTTATGTTTATGACAATATGTTACTTTAACTATTAATGGATTGATTCCAATTGCTGATGAATTGCTTATGACTTTTGAATGCTAAGAACTTATTTTTGTTATGCCTTTGTGTTTAATGTATTGATGACAGTCGATTGTGGAATGGATGTGATATGTTGACAAAATGCTTGTGATAGTTAGTTACAATGTTGATAATATTCTATCTATTTATTATTGATTGATTTGTTAGCATAAATAAAGGCACTCTGTTAAAATGTCTAAATCTATATTTTTTTGAGATGGAAAAAAGTTTACTTATTTGAATAATAAAATAACTTGAAAAGATCATACATACGTTAAGGGGGAGCTCACACTCAGGAGGAGAAATTCCAATTTGGTGCAAAATAAAAGTAAAAAATAAACATTATGCGTTTAATAAAGGAGTGTTTTCTCATCATCAGAAAAGGAGGAGATTATTGGCTCCATTAATTTTTGATGATAATAAAACATTCCCATTTATCTATGTCTAACTTTTCTATTTGAGTGTACAAGACAAAAATAAATGTTAAATAATATATTATTCATTCAAAAGCAAACATCAAAACTTATAAGAATAAAGAGCTACAATTGAGTAATAAAACAGAAGCCTCTTTATTGGATAATCAAGGGAGTTGGTTGGATAAAATTCAAAAGAGAAGTTGACGAGTTCAAGCAGATTGTGAAATAGAAAATACTTAGTCTACCAGAGTCATTGTTAGTCAACTAAGAGCTTATTACCAAAAACTGAATTTCAAGACGGAAATGACTTAATCAACTAAAAAATATTGTTAGTCGACTAAGAGCCTACTACTAGAAACTGGGTTTAGAGACATAGCGACTTAATCGACTAACTAGAAATGTTAGTCAACTAAGAGCATGCTATCTAAAAATTTGAGTATGAATGCTAGAAGACAGATTAATGGCTAAAACAGTCTCCAAACTGTTTCCAATGGTCAGAATCTATCTAACATCCATCAGAGTTGATTTTTCAAGTATATAAGGCACTCCCAA